TCATCAACAACACACCCGAATCACATCTGATCACATCGGATGTAAAATGGATGCGATCTGGACACGATTCGAATCTTTTGGACGTGGTTTGGATGCGTTCTGAATGAATACTGTCATCCCCAAAATAATCCACCTAAGATTTGAGCTTTTGCTTTTGTAGCTTATGTGGAACTGTTGCACCTAGGGACTACATATTAATTGTTTATTAGAGAAGAGGAAGTGAAATGAGACCCACCAGGTTCAAATCTCAGGTGGATTATTTTGGGGATGACAGTTTCGATGATTTCGACAAAATTCCTTGAGTAGCCCAAACCAAGCAACGTTCAAATCTTGGTCGGCACCATTTTTCTTCTCTTTTTATGACTAGAAAGAAGAAATACAATCCAGTACTGAGCAAACAACTTAAACTATCATAAGATCAAAAAGCGACATTTTCCCACTAAATTTGTCAAATGTAGAAAAATGTAAATATCTCAGGTGTTGTTTGTGCTGGCCAACCTCCCTCTTAGTGTTGATAGGTCCTAATGGTAACTGTTGAGCCCACAATGTTTAAACCGATTCCGTGACCCAATCTCTCACCTCAGACCACCTTGGGCTGTAGATATTTTGACAAGAGCGGCTTTGTTGCAGGGTTTGAACTTCGCTGAGATGAGTGATTTTTCAAACTTAACCAAATAGACATTACCTTACAGATTTAGATTCGTCTCGAGAAGACCAACAAAAAATGTCAACACATGTTATGGGTTAAAATAGAAAATGAAAGAGTTATTGGACTTTTAGAGTGCAAAAATGGTCAAAAAGACATTAGAAGTTCAATAATTCTTTCATTTTCCATTTTAACCCATGATATGTGTTGACATTTTTTGTTTGTCTTCTTGAGACGAATCTTATTCTGTAGGGTGATGTGTATTCGGTCAAGTTTGAAATTTGGCTCCAGGCGCTGCCCTGCGGAAGTCTGCAGGGAGTTCCCCACCACCTTGCGCTGTGTTCCTGAAGCAGCGTGCGCCGTTTTGATAGGGTGTACTTGTTTTGCACTCCGCATCAGACCCGCGGCCTGCGCGCGCTTTGCACACCCTATGCCCAGGTTAGGGGTACCGTGTGGGTTCTCTGTCGTCCGGGCGTTCTGATGGACGCGGGTAGGGCGGCCTCGGGCGGCCTGCACTACGTTTGCGCTGCACGCGCTGCGAATGCACTACGCTAGCGCTAAATCGCTCTACGAATGCACTGCGCTTGCGCTGCCACTGCACTTCATTCGCACTAAAATGCTCTACGAATGCTCTATGATTGCACGAAATTGCACTACGGCGGCTCCATGTTCGCAATAAAACGCACTGTGAATGCCCTTCGATTGCACGATAGTGCACTACGGTCGCACCAGAAAAGCACGAGAACGCGCTAAAATTTTTTTACAGGGGTACTGCTGCTGCGCGTGCGCACTGCGCCTGTGCCTCAGTCTCTCACTCACTCCATCACTCACTCACTCCGCTCCAGTCCGCTCTGCTCCGCTGCTCCGCCGCGACGGACTAAACTGGAAGGGAGCAACAACTTTGGCACCTGGAAGCTGCAGGTAAAGTTTGCGCTCATGGGCGTTGGTTTGTGGGAATGCACCAAAACCACACCAACGGTATCTGGTCTTGACAACCGGGCTCTGGCTGTCATTGGGCTGAGTCTCAAGCCCCAATGCAGCCTTGTGATACAGTCTTCGGAGACTGCCAAAGAGGCCCTGGAGTTTGCTGTGCAATGCTTACGAATCGAAAAGTGGATCGCCTAGAAGTGCATTGACCAGAAGACTGATTAACATCCGTCTTAGTCAGTACAAGAGCCTCACTGACTATGTTAATGCAGTCAAGAATTTGCAATAAATAATTCACAAATGGAATCATTAAAAGCTACTATTTTGCATCAGTTGGCTAGACGAGATTATTTAAGAAAAAGAATTCTAAAAATGAAGGAATGGGGTGCTGCAACTTTAAAAAAGTGAGTTCATTGCGCGGGATTTTGGTGTTTTGTTCATTTTGAGGGGGACATCAACAAGCCAGTTGATGACGAATTATTGGCTGATATCATCATTAATGGTCTGCCAGACAAGTTAGAGCCCTTGTTGATGGGTCTGCAAGGAGCTAATGAGGAGATAAAGAGCCAGACTGCACACTAAATTACTATGTAGGTTTTTCTGCGCGCTAATGCACGAAATTGTACATGCACTTCCTAACGCACGAATTTGTGCGCGACAATGCACGATTTCCTGCATACTTGCGCACGAAATCGTGCATTATCGCGCACAAATTCGTGCGTTACGAAGTGCATGTACAATTTCGTGCATTAGCGCGCAGAAAAACCTACATAGTAATTTAGTGTGTGCTGCAGCTTAGTCCTGTCCTCAATCTCAATAGGAATGCTCTGAACCCTACTTAATTTGAATAAGGGAGGGTGGGGCACCATGACCACTTTTTTTTTGTGCCTCCCTCTACTCCACCGTGTGGTTCGAACAGTTAAGTTTCTAGCATGAGGGGATTCTTTGGACCTCCAAGGACCTCTTCCACCCATTGGAACTTGTCTGCAATGCACGGCAGGCTCACAGAACACTTTGGAAAATAAAACGCAAAGTGGTCATGGTGCCCCACCTATGGGGCACCATGACCACCCCGTGGGGCACCATGACCATAGTAATTTTTTGGCCCTAAAAAGTGTACTTTCTACCAGTATTCTCATTGAAATTGTTTATATCGCTGTCATTACCATCAGGCCAGTCAACTAAACTAAAAAACACTGTAAAAACCTTCGAAGTATCAAACGTTCTAAGATGCCTTGAAATGGACGGTTTAAAACAGTTAACGCTCTAAGGCTTTCAAATTTCACATCCAAAGCTATGACATGTGTTGACATTTTATGTTTGTCTTGCTAAGACGAGTCCAAATTCGTATGCAGATTTCAATTTGGTAAATTTTAAGAAAATTATCGCGGTTACTACACTGCAAACAAGTGAATTAAATGCTGTTTCTCATAATGCCAGAGCCATCTTGGTGCAAAGTAGCCACGGATCGCCTTCGCGGCCAACTTTTGCGGTTTGGAGCTCATTTAGTGCAAGAGAAACCACCATTTCAAGTCTCAGTTTCAGAACCATTCTTAATCATCTTGGTGATTCACAAATTATCACAAATTTGTGATAAAACTATCTATTCTGCAGCAATTATTCAACCTTTATACATTTTCAGAAGCAAAAAGCAAATTTTCGACGAAAATAAATCATTATCAGGCCAAAATATGAGAAAAAACACTCAAATATGTGTGGTCATGGTGCCCCACTAAAAAGTGGTCATGGTGCCCCACAGTGCAGTTTACGACTCTAAGGCTCCCCGAGCAAGCAAACAACTACTTAGAATTAAATGTGAAGTTGGATATTTTGCCGAAGAGCCGACATTTTGAGAAAAACCTAGGACATCGAACCTATCTTCTCAAATGTGAGAGTGAGAAAAAATATCCCAGATTTGAAAAACGCCCAATTTAGCCAAAACGCTGTAACAAAAATTTTGGCGAGGTGCTATGGTCGTACCCTTGAAGCTAGAAGGTAGGGCTCTGGCTGAAAATAGTTAGAATTCTATTCTCTCGAAAGTCCGGTCGACCGGTTGCCGTCGGCAAAGTAGTTCCCGAGAGCGAGGGGGGTGGTCATGGTGCCCCAGTGGTCATGGTGCCCCACCCTCCCTTAGATGAGGGTGCCCGTGGCTTTGAGATTATTTTCTGAAAAGCTTGGACATGCCATGATCACTGCGTCAGACCAGGGTTTGATTTCCAAAGCTGCAAAAACAACTGGGTGGTTTATTCTTGCCGCCGCAGAATCGTACATTAGAAAACACTGGGAATAGATGTGAAAAATATTGTATTTCAGTGATGGCTGTGCCGCCCAATATAAAAACAAAAAGGCTGTGGCTACTATTGGGTTCCACCAACGTGATTTTGCTATTGTTACAGTGGCATTATTTTGCAACGAGGCATGGTAAATCTGCCTGCGACGGAGTTGGTGGAATGATAAAACACCTATGCACGTTGTGTCGCTTGCGCCTTTCTGCAAATGACCCACAGATAACAAGTGCCCGAGCTTTTTTTGAATGGGTAGATGCTGGGTACATTTTGAGCCATAGAACGCCTGTTTTGATTCGGGTCGAAAAAGGTAGTAGCCATAAATGAGCAAGTGTCCTACATCTTTGCAAATATGAAGGTTGGCAAAGCTGACTGGAAGCCTGCGTCTTATCTGAACACGCGGTTCAAGCCGTTCGAGCGGAGTTTCAGACCACGAAGAGGCAGGAAGAGGCCCCACTTCTACGAGATACCGCTCCCCGACGGCAAACTGAGCGTCACCCTCAAGAACGTGTCTGTGGCCTTCCCTGGGTGGTCGGGCCTTGATCCTGCAGCGCGCCGACAACAGCTGCAGGAAAGGCTCGACGACCGGTGTCCAGGACAGTGTGTCGCAGTGAACGAGGAGGGCTCCGACGAGAGCGACGAAGCGGAAGACGTTGTTCGTCGAGCGAGGTTCGACCGCTGCTGGTCGTGCACGATGTTCAGGAACCGCCATGCTGTGCCCGACGAGAGGGGCCCCACCGACCTGGAACAATTTTAAATCCACCCAGGTTCCAGCCAGTGTCTTAGTTGGAAGAGGGTGGGGAGACGGGGAGTGGGGAGCGCGTGTGCAGTGCAGTCGCCCTGTGCTGCTGTGGCTGTCAGTCACGTTGTGTTCACAGTACATGCAGCACTGACACAAACTCAGCCAGCTACAGCTCCGTGGCTGCTTTAGACATGAAAGTAAGTTTACAAAAGAATCTCCCTTTTGGTATGATAATGTCTTGATTTTGACCAATTTTTTTTATAATTCAATAGGTTAAACTGGCTGAGGGAGTCATGTGCGAGGGCTTCGCTAACAAAACACAGCGAGCCCCACCTCAAGCCCTTCCCCAAACGTTTTAGGGGCGTTGCTGTGTGTAAGTTCTTTCTCTCTCTTCTGCGCTGGATCTTCAACAACCATGGTAACAGGAAAAATAGATTTTGTCAAAACCGGTCCTCACTAACTGTGCATCGTACTTTGCAGTACTTTATGGGGACTTCCTCGCCCGGGAGAAGGGAGAGAGGCCCAGCCAGAGGGAGGCAAAGAAAGTTCTTAGGGATAAGAGGCCGATGGTGGAGAAGGACAGTGGCTGTGGCTGTGCTAATGACAGGGAAGCATCACAATTGGATCTGCTGAAGGGCCAGTGTGGCGTTGTCTATGGCAGTGGCATTCTAGTGACAGGAACCACTCTTAGCATGGCACCACATTTTGGACTGTACGCTGTTGCTGCTACATCCCTACTGAGATACCTCCCTGCAAAGTTCGACGGGGTAACTGCGCCCATGCTGTACTTTGGAAGCACATACAGCTTCTTTCCTGCACATGTAGAGGACAGCTCATTGTTCTCGGTGAATTACCTTCACTACGGTCAGCCAAAGGTTTGGTGAGCTGATGTTGCCACCAGGCACTGCCACCCTCAGTGTATTTTGCAACTGATAAACCGTCTCTTTATTGCAGGTTCGTTGTGCAGCCGTCAGCTGTGAGGACCCTGAGCTATGCCCTAGGCTACGAGGCACGAGTAGTGGGCACATTCCACGGATAATGCAAGAATGTGTTGGGACACAAGTATTTCATGCTGCATCCGGAATACCTCACTGCCAGAAACATCCCATTCACCACTGTGAGTGCTGCAGCATAGGGGTGCGAGTGATTACCTTATATAGGCACACACTGACTGCCTGTTGTTGACTCACACCAGGTTATACAGAGGGCTGGCGAGGCAGTTGTTGTGACTCCAAATGCTGTGCATTTCGGATTCAACTCGGGGCACAACTGTGCAGAGGCCATCAACTTTGCAATAGAGTCATGGATTCCCTACGGGATAGTGGCTGAGATATGCAACTGCTTGTGAGTACAGCATAATTATGCCGCATTTGGAACTGATAAGTCCATAGCCATGCCTGTACCAACATTGTCTGTTCTGCCAGGGGCCAGGATGTTCACATGGATCTCGGAAGAGTTATCCAGCTGTCAAGACCAGACCTGCTCCGATCGTACATTGAGGGCAGGATGCCTTACGTCAAGGATGACAGAGACTTTTATGACTGCATCGTGAGGACAGGACAACGCCCTTGTGCTGATGAGGGTGATAACCAGGCTAGCTATGGTGACCAGGAGCAGTTACACCAGGTACGGATGTCACTTCATACATGAAGGGGGAGAAGGTGTAATATTGAGTTGTACCCTTTGTACGTGTGGATTTTCTCCTAGAAGTTGAGTCAGTTAATTTGGTGTAGTGATGTTAACCGTTCTGAGGCACAGTATTATAGATTTGGGGATAAGTGACGTGATTCCTCTCATCCGCTTCTTAAGATTATATTTATGTGTGTGCGATGTGATTATGTGTTATACATCTGTTCTGTATATAATATATGTTATCATTCCTTGCAGGACGATGGAAGCATTGATGACGCCTACCCTGAGGTACAGCAGCCAAGCAGTGAGAAACCAGATCGCAGATGCCCACAATTTGGGTGCAATTACTTCACGACCAGACGTTCGAAGATGGCCAGGCACATCAATGCAGTGCACAACAGTGACCAGGGCCTTCTTACGAAGGGGAGCCAATTGTTTGGTCCAGAGAGGGTGCCCAAGGGAGAAAGCCAGAAGTGTCCTGAGTGCAGCAAGGGCATCATCAGTGGATCTTCAAAGATGAAGCGACACAGAGCTGCAATGCATGGGGATGGAGGAGGAGGAGGAGGGGGAAGGGGGAGCCTCTCGGTAGAGTGTGTGTTTTCTGCTACCTACAATACTTATAAGTGTTTTGTGTTTCCAGGGAGTGAATGGGATGTTAAGGGAAAGAAATGTGCCCCTTTTGTGCTTCAGGGCAGATGTTTACGTTGTTTCATCTGCCAAGCCAAAGTCCAGGTCGTTTTGGCGACTGGACTTTATTAAGGCATACCCAAACCGGACCAATTCATTACCTGAAACTAATTGCAAAATGACCCAGAAGTTGAAGAATGCTTTGTCAGTAAGTTGGTAATCCTTAAGCATTCACTACGATACATAGTGTAGTTCTCCTGGTTCTTCTGGATTATAATTATTAATCTATCCACATTGCAACTGCTTGAACTCTTATCAGTATGTACACTGTGCAGTGAAGCACCTCAGTGGCTTATGGTGGCTTGTTGATGAGTTTTAAAAGTGGGCTGTGAACACCAATACAACACTGTGGCAAAAAGCTACGGAAAATTCTGTAAGCAGCTTGTGGTAATTCTCCGTAGCCCCCTTATCAATATTCTCTGTAGGCTCTTACAGCATTTTCCGTAGGATCGCACAGTATTCTCCGTAGGACCTTACAGTGATCTCCGTAGGACTAAACAGTCTTCCAGGTCCTACGGAGAAGACTGTGTGGACTTACAGAGAATATTGTACGGCCCTACGGAGAATACTGTAAGAGCTTACGGAGAATATTGATAAGAGGGCTACGGAGAATCCTGGCAAAAAAATTAACAGAATTTTCCGTACCTTTTTGCCACATCGAATGGCAATGGGATGCGATAAATATGTCTACTTGCCACACTGAAACCTCACTTAACATGTACTTGTCCACATTGCACCTGCATGGACTACATGCACTTAGTTTAGAGTGCCATAAAGCACTTTGGTCTGCTGGTGTGGCTTGTTGATGGGTTTTAGTCGAGTGCCTGAGGAAGGGACTGGGATGGTAAGAGTGTTGCAGGTCGTAGTCTGTATGGGCTTCAAACGTTGGTGACAATGCACATTGCGTTCTGTTGCACCTTTGATGTATAGTCTCTGCGTAATGTTATGCCGCTTTCAATTAACAACATGGGATATTTGTGGGTTTACGGCAAGGGGCTGCACTACTGTTCTCTGAGCCAACTCATTTTGCTGCATGCTTTGTATGTCTTTACCTGCCAACACGGACCTCAAAAAACAAGTTCTCTCTCTGTGCACAGAACCTGCTGGCTGGTGCTTCTCTGGAAGCCACACAATCAGTCGGCTTTGCCCCCGCCGAAAAAGTGTTATTCGCTTCCGTGGAAGTACCCTGGTGCGTCTCTCTAAGAGCAACAACACCCAGAGCTGCTGGAACGACCCGTGCACCTGGGGTTCGCGGACGACGTCGCCATAGTCGCGGAGACCAAGGAGGAGCTGGTGGAGGCGTGCGCGAGGTTAGAGGACAATGCAGCGAAGTACGGGCTCAAGATATCGCCAAAAACGGAGTTCATGGGGTGTCGAGGAACCACACGGGGACGGCCTGCAAGTGGCTGACACAACCTTCCGCCGGGTGGAGAACTTCAAGTACCTGGGCTCCACCATCAACGAATAGAACAGCATCGACCTGGAGGTCAGGGCACGCACCATGGCGGGGATGGCGTCGTACTTCTCCTTGGACGCAGTCTACAAGTCGAGAAGCGACGCCAAATAGTATGCGCAAGGAGATTTTTTAAGATACAGCCAAATTAGGCTCAAAAAGACTCTTCGACTGGGTTCAGAGCCTGGGATGTGCTTTCAAAAGTCAAATTTTAGTCTCCTCAAAGAAAGATTTTATATTCCGAACAAATTATGACAGTGGGATCTATTTGGAAAATGGCAAGATTTTCACCAGAACCTCCCCTCAACTGTCCCTTCCGCTTACGCAGACGCAGGTTTAACGTTGCGGTGGAACGGGAATGTGAACTGCTACTGCTGGACCTGCGAAAGGCCGTCATCGCTGCGCGATCTGGAAAGGAAAAGTGAGTGTCCGGTCAAGAATGGGCGACTCCCTTGATGGTCGGCGCGGCGGTCAGCCAATTGGCCAACCGGCCCCGAGAAAGCGTATTTCAACTTCCTTTTCTTCTTCCAGTGTGAGGCAGACTCATTCCCGCCGGTTCGCTCAAGGCTGCGCACGCGCGGTTACGAAAATAGAGGACCTGTGCCGCGAGGTCGAGAGGTGAGCTGGACTGATCGTTTGCTAGCTGAATGTGTGAGGTCTTTCTGAACTTTGTGAGCTTATTGCGCTTCTTCCACAGGGCGAACGCACCGCCACCACCACCGCCAGGAGGTCCCCGCGGCACCAGCACGGCCGACCAGCCGCGGCAGGAGCAGGCCGAGCCTAACAGTGGGATGTTGTCAGTGGGATGTCGTATGAGGGCAGGACCCTCCACACTGCCCTGCACAAAGGGGCACTGCCTGCTCTCCTAAAAGGACGGAAGGGGGAAGGGCAGAGGGTGCCCTCCTTCATCCGAAACTTGCTCATCCACTGTAGGATGACTTCTAGCCGTACTCCTTACCAGGCCATCATGAAGGGGATGGCCCAGGAGGGATTTTATGAGCCCAAGGAGTTGCTTCAGAAGAAGCTCAAGGGCCTCAAGCAGTACTACGAACAGTTGAGGGACAACTGCATGGAGCGACGGACTGAAACCTGGCCCCACTATTATGCAATGGCCAGGTTTTATGAGGATGATGTTGATCCTGACATAGATGGTAGTTGTTTCTCTTCATATTTTCTGTGATCTTGCTTTTACACTGGGTTCCTATTCATTGACAAATTTATTTTTCAGATGAACTATGGTCCAGTGTGGCAGTCCATAGGCTCATAGACGCTTATGCGCAGAAGAAGGAGATGAAGGCTCACCGGCCTCAACAGTTTTGGGTATTGATCAAGCAAGAGCTGAACGACATACCGAATTTCAAATGGACTCAGTGCCGTGGCAAAAGGCAGAGGCTGAAGAAGGCAGAGGCTGAAGAAGACATAGAATGAAAAATGTGATGAGTTAAATCAGTTTGGTAAGGTCTTTCTTCGTCATTGGCTGCCCTTTTAGGGCAGCCAAGTTCATGGCGATCAAGCCCTCGAATTTGGAATAATTTTACTTTTATCCTACCTTAAGTGTACATTTATTGTCTGACTGTTTTATTATTTTTTAAATGACAACGAATGTTCAACTTAATTGCTCTATTAGTTGTTAAGTCTGTAAGTGTTAAGAATATCTTTCATGCTCCATTAAAACAAATTTTACTGTCAACAAATTATCATTTAAGAATAATTCCTCATACGCTCTGTGAGTATTCGCCAAATGATCGGCAAATGATCAAGACACACCACAGTACCTTTATGTTGTAGTTATTTAGCAGTTCTCCACTGACAGTTTTGTGGATGTTGGGCGATGAAGGCAGAGCAAGGATAAATAAGCACGTCTACACACAGCAAGTACTGGAGAGGAAGTGAAGAGTCTTTTATTTTTATCAATATGGCTGGAGTCCAGTTTCCGTGTGCACTGCTAGAGTGCAGTGATGCATGTACCAGTATTTACAGGCGGTGACTATGATAATTACCTAGTTACTCTATTTACATGGTATGAGAAATATATACAGCGGGAGAATATGAATGAGAGAGCATTATGTTATGTGGTAGGATTAAATTATTACAACACTCCCCCTTAATCCGGGAACATAAAATTTCTTACATTTGATAGTTAGCTTCTTTTTCTTTTTTCTTTGCAGCCAATTTTTCTTTCAGAATTTCGATCCTCAATTCCCTTTGATTTTGCTCGGCAGTTTCTGAATTATCTGAAAGAATTAAGCATTTGTCATCAGAGATAAAAGTAAATAATTCCCTAATTGAATTATTAAAAGGTAGTATTATTCATCAAGTCGCTAGACGAGATTATCTCAAAATAAGAATTCAAAAAATGAAGGAGTGGGCTGTTGCAACTTTAAAAAAAATCGAAGTAATGCACTACCCAAACGTTTCCATTGTGCCCAAGTTTCACTACACAATCCACCTTCCTACTCAACTTTCAGAACTTGGTCCAACCCGTGACACCTAGACCATTCAAGATGAGGCAATGCACCCGTATTTTAAACGACATATGCTCTATTTTAAAGCAGTTCTTCGGACATCTCGAAACGAAGCGCTGTCGCAAGCCTGTCGCCAGAGTTGGTCAAACCCCAACTTCAGCGACGTGCGACAGCCTTGCGACGAGTTACGGCTGACTAAATCTTACCACTCCCCCACCACACACTAAGCTTACGCTGAGTTGTTTCGTGCGGTTGTGTCTGTTGTGGCGTGGTATTTTCGTATTATTTTTCGTATTATTGTTATTGCAAATAA